AGTTCAAGCTGTATTAGTTTTCAGCCTTGTATTAATAAACTCAATATGCTCAGAACTTTGGTGACTATATATTTCTTGAATGGCAGAAAGAAAAAAAATTAAAGCCGCAAGCGGCGTCGAACGGCCCTCGCCGCACCGCGCGACTCCCTGCACCGCGCGCACTCCCCGCACCACGCCGCCCTGCACCACGCCGTCCCGCACCACGCCGTCCCGCACCACGCCGTCCCGCACCACGCCGTCCCGCACCACGCCGTCCCGTACCAAGCCGCAACGCGCCGCTCCACAACGCCCCGCACTACGCCGCACCACACCGTACCACGCAGCACCGCTCAAAGGAGGTGGCGCCGCCGTGTGATGATTTGTTCCCGTAGTCATAGAAGATTGTTAGTCAAATTTGAATGAATATGATAAGTAGAGCTGGTTTGGCTCCCGATGTAAACTTTGGCTCAGTCTTTAGGGGGCGCTAATGGGCCAATTTCAAATATTTCACTTTCACCTGACCTAAACCCTGGAGTTGAACAATGGATTCAAGTTTAATGCAAATCAGACTTTGTTTGTGCAAACGGGAAAAAATTAATGTTGTCAAAAACGGCCAAAAAAACCCTCACATTTTGCCGCTTCGCTGCTCAAACAACGTTTCACTGATCAAAATTCCCTGAAGTCATTTTGAAGGTAAATGTGTTGAGATGATTTGGAACAATTTTGAGGCCAATCGGTGAAACGGCCGAGGAGGAGTCGCTTTCCAACCGACATGTATGAAAATGATTATTTTTCATTTTTCCATTTTGCAGTGAAATTTATGGGCTTTCTGTTTGTCAGAGGGCTTAGCCATAATAAAACAAGTTCAATGTCTTGACTTGAGGAACATGTGTTCCAAATTACATGGTTCTATGACAATTTTGACCTCGAACCCCTCCCATAGGCATTTTTAAATCGGCTGTTGTAGGTGGCGCTATAGAGCCAATTTCAAAATTTTAACTTTCAAATGACCTAGACCCAAGAGTTGAACCATGGATTTAAGTTTTGTGCAAATCAGACTTTGTTTGTCCAAACGGAAGCCATTTTTCTATTGTCAAAAACTGAAAAAAAATACGCCACTATTTGCCGCTCCGCTGCTCAAACAACGTTTCACTGATCATAAATCCCTGAGGTCATTTTGACGGTACATGTGTTGAGATGATGTGGAGCGATTTTGAGGCGAATAGGTGAAACGGCCGAGGCTAGTTTGATGTTTGTGTGAGGTGTACATTTGCAATGAATCTGGAGCGTTTGTCGTCGCCACGGCAACAGGGTAAAAAATAAGCCTTGGACCCTATTGACTTTTTGAATCAAGAGTGCAAAACAGATTTATGTGCAAAATTTCAAACATTTTGAAAAAACTAAATTTGAAAATGCCCATCTAAAACTTTGAAATAGTCTGTAGGGGCGCTAATGTGTCAATGTGAATCATTTAACTTTCAAATGACCTAGACCCTAAAGTTGAACAATGTATTAAAGTTTTGTGCAAATCAGACTTTGTTTGTGCAAACGGGAGCAAATTTAATGTTGTCAAAAACGGCCAAAAAAAGGTCACATTTTGCCGCTCCGCTGCTCAAACAATGTTTCACTGATCAAAAATCCCTGAGGTCATTTTGAAGGTACATGTGTTGAGATGATGTGGAGCGATTTTGAGGCGAATCGGTGAAACGGCCGAGGAGGAGTCGCTTTCCAACCGACATGTATGAAAACTTTTGCTGTTCATTTTTCCATTTTGCAGTGAAATTTATGGGCTTCCTGTTTGTCAGAGGGCGGAGCCATAATAATATTTTTTTCATGTCTTGACTCAAGGAACATGTGTACCAAATCTCATGTTTCTACGACAAACTTGACCTCCAAAAAGTCCCATAGGGGTATTATTTTGGCTGTTGTAGGTGGCGCTGTTCTGGCATTTTTTGAGTCCCATAAAAATAAACACCAAAATATCAAATTTTTCGCCAGGTCTGATTTTTGGGCCAAAATTAACAACTTTTCATGCATGTTCAGGGGGTCAAATTAAGGCTCAAAGTGCAGAAGAAAAAAGAAAGAAAGAAATAAATAAAAAAGGAATTTTTTTTTTAACGTCTCGAGCAAAAACAATATAGGTTTCAATGGCATGTGATACATCATTTTAAAGCTTTTGAGTTTACGCACGCAACTGTCACATTTTGGTGAGTGACGGGCGCTGACGCGTCCGTCACGCACCGCCACCATTTGTTTTCACCATTGTGAAAGCAATAGGCCCTTACCCCGTTCGGGGCTCGGGCCTAAATATTCAACACATGTTTGCACCGTATAATCCTAATATGAGCTTTGATGGAGCTTAAAACAGCTCCAGGTCTGTGGTTGAAGCAGGAACGATGCAGATTGCGTCCTTTTAAATACATGTCGTTAGCGATCGCCTCTGCTCTGCACATGTTTAGATCCACGCTGCACAGATGCTCCGCGAGCTTTCATCCGTCTGCTTCTGTGATGACACCTGCTTGATGCAACCCCCCGAGCGCAAACAAGCACTGAAGTTTTCATGAAGTAGCTAATAGTGGCCTTCATTCTACTATCCTTCTACAAGATCCATTCAAATAGTATTTTAGTAGTTCGTCAAATAGTATTCATACGATCCCAACATTGCAAAGAGTTTACTTTTTATGTGGCGCATATGATTTTTTATCCTGGTAACTATGGTGTCAAAAAACAGATTCTAGTTTTAGTCTAGAGCTCATTTCTCTAATTCCTGGGTCAATGCACATGAAAGGTATATAATCTTTGTAATAATACATATATTTGACATTCCTTGGCAATACCACCGTCTGTAAAATTGGCTGGAGGAGAATAGACCAATGGTGAGGGGCCTCAGCTTTCTATCAAGTATTTGAATTTACTAAATCCAATCAGAAATCTGTTGTGCAGCGTCTAACTAGGGCATGCGTTTGAAAAATGTATCTCTGTATTAAAAATTGAACAGCACGTTTTGTTAGTACAGTTTAGGTCGGAATCATAATACACAGTTTGAGAGACTGGGTGTGTCTTTAGTCAATCTAGAACAGAGGTGACAAAGTAATTTTTGTTGGGAGCCAAATTTGAAATGAAAGAGCTGGTTGGGGCCAGAACTATGAAAGTGGTTTTCCTTTTTTACATAATTTTGACAAAAGTAACTGTATTTATATTTGAGTTTGTATATTACTTCCTAATTGGTTTGGATCCAATCACAACAGGGCCAAAAATCAAGAAGAGATGTATTTGAAGACTAATAGTTAAATATAAAAAAAAAAATCTTGGCCCTAGCTCCTATTTTAACCTTTTAGAACATATTAAATTATATGGTTGTTTTCCGGAGACAATAGGCTTCAGAATGAAAACAAAATACCGTAGTATCCCATTACCACCAATGCTGCAAGTTACTGTAATAAAGATAATTGGAAATCTTTTCGGGGGCCACTGAAAATTGTTTTGTGGGCCGGATTTTTGACATATCCGGCCTGAGTTTGACATACCTGGTCTAGAATGTATTAAGTCCACTCCAGACATAGTAGTTTCAGTAGTAGTAGTAGTTCCAGTTCCAGTTCCATTGCCTTCACCTGAACTCGCCTTGGCAAAAAGACAAAGTCCCAAGGCGGGTTAAATGCCCAGTGGTTCTGACATATCAGCCCATATCGACCCGGGTTGTTTGGGTTTTCGTCGCAGTGTTTTTGCTCTGTGGAAATGAGCCTTCTGTGTCCAAAGGCTCAATAATACTAAATGTTCTCTGTTGGATGTAAACCAGCACTTATCTTCCGCAGCCTCATAATAAGACCCAGTGTTCGTCAGACGAGCACAACTTGTTCATTAGTTCTTTGTTCTGCAGTGAAATAGGCGTACACCAGCGCTCCCTCGGGCCCACTCAAATCTGAAACCTTCTAATACAGCTCACCATCGCCTCACTCCTGCAAATTAATCTCCCACTTGCACACTCTTGCATTTGAAGATGAGTTTGTAATCGCCTGTGACGGAGTAACCCCGTCAGCTCGCGGGTGAGAGGAGGCCACGGCGTGAACACGCGCACACACACGCACACACGCATGCACACACATACGTTCATACACGCTCATACAGACTTACCTGTTTCCTCCTGCATTTCTCTCTCATAGCGTCAGTCTAGGGTGCACACTTGGCTGGCGTTCAATCACTCTATAGTCCATAGTACTTCCAACCGGTCCAAAAGTATCTCAGTATTTTGTCACACGCACAGCACAGCAAAGTTGGCCAAACCGAACCCCGCGGTCTTCCTTGTTTTTATGCGCCGAGAGTAGGGCTCACAAATGTGACGTCACGCGTCGGGTCACGTGGCACACGGATTTTGGTGAGAAATTATTGTATTCTATGATTTATCATGTATTCTTTCTGTGTTGGTTTTTATTTTCATTTGTGATAATATATTATGAATTTAGGAATTATGTTGATAATCAAAAATGTTTCTATTTGAAGAGAAATTGTTATTATTTGTATTGATTGGTTTGGGGGGAGGAGCTTCAGGGTATAAGGCAGGGCTGTCAGAGCCACAATGTGTGTGGAAGCTGGATGATGAGGATGCTGTGCACTGCTGGCACAACGCTCCAGAGCTGTACTCCCTGATGCCCTGGTGGGTAGTCTCTGTACATATTCTTTTGGTCACTACTGGGTTTGCCCTCACTTGCTGCAGCAAAAATAAACATCTGCACTAAAGAAATATAACCTGACCAGACCATATCATTTTGTTTGCATTTCTTTTGAGAACCCGCGACATTTTTGGTGTCAGAAGTGGGATATGGCTGGTCGCAGAAAAGGACTGTGGCCCCGCAAACTTGAAGAGGACTTTTTGGAAAGGCAGAACGAGGGAGAACATGGAGACTCTGAACCATCATCCCCGTCATTTCAGCCAGTTGGTGAGCTGGTGGCTTTATTAAAGGATTTTTTAAATGGACAAGAGAGGAGAGAGGAAGGACTGGTGGCGGAGCTCAGAGAGTTACGGAATGCACTCCCAGCTGCCCAGGCCCCTCAGACTCCAACACATTTTCGGTTTTCGGAGGAATGCCCAAGCAGCTACACTGAAGCGGCTACTGGAAGCGCACATCTTGGACTTCCGACCCCTGGTGGCACTAGAGTCGTGGTACCTCCAGATGAGCGTGAGACAGCGAGGCCGCTGGGTGTTTCCTGGAATGCGGAAAGGGATGCTGGACCCGAGTGGAGACACTTCAGTGATCCAAAAATTCCACCGTTCCAACCCAGTGAGGACATTGAAAACTACCTGCTCAGGTTTGAACGTATTGCCAAGACCTGGAGATGGCCAGAGACCGAGTGGGCTTGCCGGCTGGTCCCACTCCTCTCTGGGAAGGCCTTGGATGCATACACGGCAATGGATGAGGGGGAAGCGCATAACTATACTCACCTGAAGGCGGCGCTCCTCACCAAATTCGATATTTCCCCGGAGACCGATAGGCAGCGCTTTAGAGCCACCGGAGTTCCTGCTGGAGAGACGCCCACGGAGACCTACCATCGGCTGCGAGGACTCTACCGTCGCTGGATTCGCCCCGACATCCTGTCCAAGGACGCGATCGGTGAGCTCATCGTCTTGGAGCAACTGCTGTGTGTGCTTCCGCCGGACGTCCGTATGTGGGTGAAGGAGCACAACTTGGAGGACGGCCTTACAGCAGCGAAGTTAGCTCTTCAGTACCAGAACGCGCATCGAGGATTCACACGCTTTCCCAGTTCGAGTCAACGTCCAGCACCACCACCAGGACCACCTTCTGCACCACCCCCGAGACCAACCCAAGATGTGAGAGGTACCAATTTCCAGTCAGCACCCGGTAAGACCCTGATTTGTTTCTATTGCCAGCAGGCGGGACATAAAGCTTCAGTATGTCCCATGCGTAGGGGTAAGCTAACTGGGGCTTGCTATGCTCCTCGACCTGAGACTGAGTTAGTAGGAACCAAGCTGACAAAAACTGAAAAACTGGTTACTGTTAACGGACAGCCAGCTATGGCACTACTGGACAGTGGGAGTTTCACTTCCCTGATTAAGAGAAGTTTAGTTCCTATGGGCAGTATAGACTATAGCGCTAAAACGGATGTTGTTTGTGTCCATGGACCTCCTCTACCCACCTCTACCCGAGATCCGACGTCTCTATAGAACTGGATGGACAAGTATATCTACTGACTGTAGCCGTAGTTGACAACCTGCCAAAAGACTTGATCCTCGGGAATGATTTCCCTCTGCTGATGGACTTATTGCAAGGGACAGGGAGTGACTTTGGGGGGACTTCGAGTTCAGTTGGTAATATTGCATGTCCGGTTGTAACGCGTTCCCAAGACCAGGTTACTGGCCTCCAACCTCTGCCTGATTTGGATGTTAGTCTGTGCGAGGGAGGGACTAAGGGCCCAGGTAAATCCAAGCGGCAGCGCCGTTTTGAGAAAGGGTTAGCTGTGACAGATACCAAAGGGCTAATTGCTGATGGGTTGTGGGATGTACCAGGGGACATTGCTTGTTTACAGAGACAGGATACCTCTTTAAAACATTTGTTTGATAAGGTGGTTGCTAGTCCAAACCCTGTGTCCAGCAAGGAACAGTTTGTAGTGGAGGAGGAAATTCTGTATGCATGTAATGAGGGTCGCAAACGTCTGGTTATCCCTGCTAGCTGTAGACAGTTAGTGTTACACCTCGCACACACGCTTCCCTGGGCTGGACATTTAGGCCGTCACAAAACATTCTTGCGGGTCAGCACACGATTCTTTTGGCCAGGCATGTATACTGACGTCCAGGCATACTGCACCACATGTCCAACATGTCAGCTCACCGGGTCTCCTCGCAAATCCGACAGGGCACTACTGCAACCTCTCCCCATTGTCTCTGTCCCATTTCGCAGAATTGCCATGGATATAATCGGTCCACTGCCACGGAGTGGGCGAGGTCATCAATACGTCCTCGTCGTGTGCGACTACGCCACTCGTTTCCCGGAGGCTTTTCCCCTTCGGACTATTACAGCGCCTAGTGTGTTACGAGCCCTGGTTCAGCTGTTCTCGCGAGTCGGCATCCCAGATGAAATCATCACCGATCAAGGCACAAACTTTACATCTCGGCTGCTTAACCTGTTCCATAAACAACTTGGCATTTCCGCCATCCGAACCACCCCTTATCATCCACAGACTGATGGACTAGTGGAGCGGTTCAACCAGACGCTCAAAAAGATGCTCCGGAAGTTTGTGGACGACTCGGGAAAGGATTGGGACAGATGGCTTCCTTTTCTGTTGTTCGCCTACAGAGAGGCCCCACAGGAGTCCACCGGCTTCTCACCGTTTGAACTTTTGTATGGGTGGGATGTACAGGGACCGCTGGATCTGCTGGAATCTCAATGGACTGCACCCGACACCAAGCAGAGTGATCGAAGTGTTGTGCAATTTGTGCTCCAGATGAGGGACAAACTGGATCAGTATCGGGAGGAGGCAGTAGAGAACTTGCGAGAAGCTCAGAGGAAGCAGAAGCGGTGGTATGACAAGCGGGCCAGAGACAGGACTTTTGAATCCGGGCAAAAAGTGCTGCTTCTTCTACCTTCCTCTAACAGCAAGCTGCTGGCCAAGTGGCAGGGCCCTTACCTTATCACCAGGCGTATGGGACCTGTCACCTACCAAATCCATCACCCAGACAAGAAAAAGTCCCACCAGACGTATCACGTGAATCTGTTAAAGGAGTGGAAAGAGCCAGTCGCTCCTGAAGCAACTGCCTCCCTTCTCGTACAAGCAGTTGAGATGGAGGAAGAGGACGATCCTGATGTTTCCATTGTCACTGAAGTGGTGAGTACCCCGAACTTGTCCCACCTTACCACCAACATGATCACCCAGCTCAGGCAAGTTTTTGAGGAGATGCCAACCCTGTTTTCCGCTAAACCTGGTCAGACTGTAGTGATCGATCGAAGCAGTGAAGAATGAGACAGAGGGCTATTGATGCTGTTGGGTGATTCGAACCATTCCAGCTCTGAATGGTGTTAGCCCGTCGTTCTAGGTGTATACAAGACGGTGGTACAATCGGATATGCATTGATTTCCGGAAGCTCATGCAGTCTCTGAATTCGACGCATATCGATGTGCCTCGCATTGATGAGCTGTTGGAACGGCTCACGCTCTGCCCGTAACATCCCACCCTTGATCGGTGCAAGGGATACTGGCAGGTGTCTGGATCTGCTGTCGGCCTACACTGCCTTTCGACTCAGTGGCCTGTTCCGTTCACCGTAATGCGTTTGGTCTACATGGAGCCACCTGCAACATTCCAACGGCTGATGGAACCAGGTCCTGGGGCGCTGTAGTGAGTGTAGTGGGAGCATATCTTGGATGACGTGGTGATCTACAGCCAGACATGGGACGAACATTCTCAGGCACTTGAGGCAAGGTCAGGGGGAAGATCCAGAGTGCAGGGCTCACCCTAAATGTCAAAACGTGATGAGTGGGCCGAGAAGAGGTGCGCTAACGTGGGCTTTAACTCGGCCATGGAGAGTCGGACCCAGGTCGACAAAGTGGAGGCGATAGGAAATGTCCAAGGCCCATAACCAAGAAAGAGTTGCGGTCTTTCTTAGGCCTTGCTGGATGGTACAGACGTTTTGTTCCCCCAGTTTCCAGATTGCTTTTTCCCTTACCACCCTCCCCGAAGGACCAAAAGAAACGGTGAACAAAAATGGACTGAAGTCCAATGTGAGGTAAGTTTTAAGACACGTCAAAGACTTTCTGTGCTCTGCCACCTGTCCTTCGAAGGTCCGATCTTACCCAGAACTTTGTGGTTTCCAGTGACGCCTCTGCCGTGGGACTGGGTGCTGTACTGTCCAAGGAGATCCAGGTCGTGACGGAGTAACCCCGTCAGCTCGCGGGTGAGAGGAGGCCACGGCGTGAACACGCGCACACACACGCACACACGCATGCACACACATACGTTCATACACGCTCATACAGACTTACCTGTTTCCTCCTGCATTTCTCTCTCATAGCGTCAGTCTAGGGTGCACACTTGGCTGGCGTTCAATCACTCTATAGTCCATAGTACTTCCAACCGGTCCAAAAGTATCTCAGTATTTTGTCACACGCACAGCACAGCAAAGTTGGCCAAACCGAACCCCGCGGTCTTCCTTGTTTTTATGCGCCGAGAGTAGGGCTCACAAATGTGACGTCACGCGTCGGGTCACGTGGCACACGGATTTTGGTGAGAAATTATTGTATTCTATGATTTATCATGTATTCTTTCTGTGTTGGTTTTTTTTTCATTTGTGATAATATATTATGAATTTAGGAATTATGTTGATAATCAAAATGTTTCTATTTGAAGAGAAATTGTTATTATTTGTATTAATTGGTTTGGGGGGAGGAGCTTCAGGGTATAAGGCAGGGCTGTCAGAGCCACAATGTGTGTGGAAGCTGGATGATGAGGATGCTGTGCACTGCTGGCACAACGCTCCAGAGCTGTACTCCCTGATGCCCTGGTGGGTAGTCTCTGTACATATTCTTTTGGTCACTACTGGGTTTGCCCTCACTTGCTGCAGCAAAAATAAACATCTGCACTAAAGAAATATAACCTGACCAGACCATATCATTTTGTTTGCATTTCTTTTGAGAACCCGCGACATTTTTGGTGTCAGAAGTGGGATATGGCTGGTCGCAGAAAAGGACTGTGGCCCCGCAAACTTGAAGAGGACTTTTTGGAAAGGCAGAACGAGGGAGAACATGGAGACTCTGAACCATCATCCCCGTCATTTCAGCCAGTTGGTGAGCTGGTGGCTTTATTAAAGGATTTTTTAAATGGACAAGAGAGGAGAGAGGAAGGACTGGTGGCGGAGCTCAGAGAGTTACGGAATGCACTCCCAGCTGCCCAGGCCCCTCAGACTCCAACACATTTTCGGTTTTCGGAGGAATGCCCAAGCAGCTACACTGAAGCGGCTACTGGAAGCGCACATCTTGGACTTCCGACCCCTGGTGGCACTAGAGTCGTGGTACCTCCAGATGAGCGTGAGACAGCGAGGCCGCTGGGTGTTTCCTGGAATGCGGAAAGGGATGCTGGACCCGAGTGGAGACACTTCAGTGATCCAAAAATTCCACCGTTCCAACCCAGTGAGGACATTGAAAACTACCTGCTCAGGTTTGAACGTATTGCCAAGACCTGGAGATGGCCAGAGACCGAGTGGGCTTGCCGGCTGGTCCCACTCCTCTCTGGGAAGGCCTTGGATGCATACACGGCAATGGATGAGGGGGAAGCGCATAACTATACTCACCTGAAGGCGGCGCTCCTCACCAAATTCGATATTTCCCCGGAGACGTATCGGCAGCGCTTTAGAGCCACCGGAGTTCCTGCTGGAGAGACGCCCACGGAGACCTACCATCGGCTGCGAGGACTCTACCGTCGCTGGATTCGCCCCGACATCCTGTCCAAGGACGCGATCGGTGAGCTCATCGTCTTGGAGCAACTGCTGTGTGTGCTTCCGCCGGACGTCCGTATGTGGGTGAAGGAGCACAACTTGGAGGACGGCCTTACAGCAGCGAAGTTAGCTCTTCAGTACCAGAACGCGCATCGAGGATTCACACGCTTTCCCAGTTCGAGTCAACGTCCAGCACCACCACCAGGACCACCTTCTGCACCACCCCCGAGACCAACCCAAGATGTGAGAGGTACCAATTTCCAGTCAGCACCCGGTAAGACCCTGATTTGTTTCTATTGCCAGCAGGCGGGACATAAAGCTTCAGTATGTCCCATGCGTAGGGGTAAGCTAACTGGGGCTTGCTATGCTCCTCGACCTGAGACTGAGTTAGTAGGAACCAAGCTGACAAAAACTGAAAAACTGGTTACTGTTAACGGACAGCCAGCTATGGCACTACTGGACAGTGGGAGTTTCACTTCCCTGATTAAGAGAAGTTTAGTTCCTATGGGCAGTATAGACTATAGCGCTAAAACGGATGTTGTTTGTGTCCATGGACCTCCTCTACCCACCTCTACCCGAGATCCGACGTCTCTTATAGAACTGGATGGACAAGTATATCTACTGACTGTAGCCGTAGTTGACAACCTGCCAAAAGACTTGATCCTCGGGAATGATTTCCCTCTGCTGATGGACTTTTGCAAGGGACAGGGAGTGACTTTGGGGGGACTTCGAGTTCAGTTGGTAATATTGCATGTCCGGTTGTAACGCGTTCCCAAGACCAGGTTACTGGCCTCCAACCTCTGCCTGATTTGGATGTTAGTCTGTGCGAGGGAGGGACTAAGGGCCCAGGTAAATCCAAGCGGCAGCGCCGTTTTGAGAAAGGGTTAGCTGTGACAGATACCAAAGGGCTAATTGCTGATGGGTTGTGGGATGTACCAGGGGACATTGCTTGTTTACAGAGACAGGATACCTCTTTAAAACATTTGTTTGATAAGGTGGTTGCTAGTCCAAACCCTGTGTCCAGCAAGGAACAGTTTGTAGTGGAGGAGGAAATTCTGTATGCATGTAATGAGGGTCGCAAACGTCTGGTTATCCCTGCTAGCTGTAGACAGTTAGTGTTACACCTCGCACACACGCTTCCCTGGGCTGGACATTTAGGCCGTCACAAAACATTCTTGCGGGTCAGCACACGATTCTTTTGGCCAGGCATGTATACTGACGTCCAGGCATACTGCACCACATGTCCAACATGTCAGCTCACCGGGTCTCCTCGCAAATCCGACAGGGCACTACTGCAACCTCTCCCCATTGTCTCTGTCCCATTTCGCAGAATTGCCATGGATATAATCGGTCCACTGCCACGGAGTGGGCGAGGTCATCAATACGTCCTCGTCGTGTGCGACTACGCCACTCGTTTCCCGGAGGCTTTTCCCCTTCGGACTATTACAGCGCCTAGTGTGTTACGAGCCCTGGTTCAGCTGTTCTCGCGAGTCGGCATCCCAGATGAAATCATCACCGATCAAGGCACAAACTTTACATCTCGGCTGCTTAACCTGTTCCATAAACAACTTGGCATTTCCGCCATCCGAACCACCCCTTATCATCCACAGACTGATGGACTAGTGGAGCGGTTCAACCAGACGCTCAAAAAGATGCTCCGGAAGTTTGTGGACGACTCGGGAAAGGATTGGGACAGATGGCTTCCTTTTCTGTTGTTCGCCTACAGAGAGGCCCCACAGGAGTCCACCGGCTTCTCACCGTTTGAACTTTTGTATGGGTGGGATGTACAGGGACCGCTGGATCTGCTGGAATCTCAATGGACTGCACCCGACACCAAGCAGAGTGATCGAAGTGTTGTGCAATTTGTGCTCCAGATGAGGGACAAACTGGATCAGTATCGGGAGGAGGCAGTAGAGAACTTGCGAGAAGCTCAGAGGAAGCAGAAGCGGTGGTATGACAAGCGGGCCAGAGACAGGACTTTTGAATCCGGGCAAAAAGTGCTGCTTCTTCTACCTTCCTCTAACAGCAAGCTGCTGGCCAAGTGGCAGGGCCCTTACCTTATCACCAGGCGTATGGGACCTGTCACCTACCAAATCCATCACCCAGACAAGAAAAAGTCCCACCAGACGTATCACGTGAATCTGTTAAAGGAGTGGAAAGAGCCAGTCGCTCCTGAAGCAACTGCCTCCCTTCTCGTACAAGCAGTTGAGATGGAGGAAGAGGACGATTGATGTTTCCATTGTCACTGAAGTGGTGAGTACCCCGAACTTGTCCCACCTTACCACCAACATGATCACCCAGCTCAGGCAAGTTTTTGAGGAGATGCCAACCCTGTTTTCCGCTAAACCTGGTCAGACTGTAGTGATCGAACACACCATCCGACTGAAGGACCAGACACCGTTCCGTCAGAGGCCCTATCGTGTTCCCCAAAAGTTGGTCGAGCAGCTGAAGAAGGAGATAGAGGCTATGATGCAGTTGGGGGTGATCGAACCATCCAGCTCTGAATGGTGTAGCCCGGTCGTCATAGTGTACAAGAAGGATGGTACACTCCGGATATGCATTGATTTCCGGAAGCTCGATGCAGTCTCTGAATTCGACGCATATCCGATGCCTCGCATTGATGAGCTGTTGGAACGGATCGGCTCTGCCCGCTACATCACCACCCTTGATCTGTGCAAGGGTTACTGGCAGGTGCCTCTGGATCCCAGCTGTCGGCCCTACACTGCCTTTCGCACTCCAGCTGGCCTGTTCCAGTTCACCGTAATGCCGTTTGGTCTACATGGAGCACCTGCAACATTCCAACGGCTGATGGACAAGGTCCTGGAGGGCTGTAGTGAGTGTAGTGCCGCATATCTTGATGACGTGGTGATCTACAGCCAGACATGGGACGAACATCTCAGGCACTTGAGGAAGGTCTTGGGGAAGATCCAGAGTGCAGGGCTCACCCTAAATGTCAAAAAGTGTGAGTGGGCCCGAGAAGAGGTGCGCTATCTGGGCTATCAACTCGGCCATGGCGAAGTCCGACCCCAGGTCGACAAAGTGGAGGCGATAAGGAACTGTCCAAGGCCCAGAACCAAGAAAGAGGTGCGGTCTTTCTTAGGCCTTGCTGGATGGTACAGACGTTTTGTTCCCCAGTTTTCCACGATTGCTTTTCCCCTTACCACCCTCACCACGAAGGACCAAAAGAATCCGGTGAACTGGACTGAGCAATGTGAGGTAGCTTTTAAGACACTCAAAGACTTTCTGTGCTCTTCACCTGTCCTTCGAAGTCCAGATTTTACCCAGAACTTTGTGGTTCAAGTGGACGCCTCTGCCGTGGGACTGGGTGCTGTACTAGTCCAAGGAGATCCAGGTGAAGAAAGGCCCATTCTGTACCTGAGCAGGAAGTTGCTGCCAAGAGAGGCGAGGTACTCCGTGGTGGAAAAGGAGGGTCTCGCCATCAAGTGGGCCCTTGAGAGTCTCCGATACTATCTCCTAGGGCGAGAGTTTATCCTTGAGACGGATCACCGGGCTCTCACCTGGATCAACACCATGAAAGACCACAACGCCAGGCTGTCGCGATGGTACCTTTCCCTACAGCCTTTTAAATTCACCGTGCGTCATCGGAAGGGCACGGCCAATGTTGTTGCGGACTATCTGTCTCGGTTGCCCAACCTTGGCAACCTTGGGAAGGGGAAGAATAGTGTGACGGAGTAACCCCGTCAGCTCGCGGGTGAGAGGAGGCCACGGCGTGAACACGCGCACACACACGCACACACGCATGCACACACATACGTTCATACACGCTCATACAGACTTACCTGTTTCCTCCTGCATTTCTCTCTCATAGCGTCAGTCTAGGGTGCACACTTGGCTGGCGTTCAATCACTCTATAGTCCATAGTACTTCCAACCGGTCCAAAAGTATCTCAGTATTTTGTCACACGCACAGCACAGCAAAGTTGGCCAAACCGAACCCCGCGGTCTTCCTTGTTTTTATGCGCCGAGAGTAGGGCTCACAAATGTGACGTCACGCGTCGGGTCACGTGGCACACGGATTTTGGTGAGAAATTATTGTATTCTATGATTTATCATGTATTCTTTCTGTGTTGGTTTTTATTTTCATTTGTGATAATATATTATGAATTTAGGAATTATGTTGATAATCAAAAATGTTTCTATTTGAAGAGAAATTGTTATTATTTGTATTGATTGGTTTGGGGGGAGGAGCTTCAGGGTATAAGGCAGGGCTGTCAGAGCCACAATGTGTGTGGAAGCTGGATGATGAGGATGCTGTGCACTGCTGGCACAACGCTCCAGAGCTGTACTCCCTGATGCCCTGGTGGGTAGTCTCTGTACATATTCTTTTGGTCACTACTGGGTTTGCCCTCACTTGCTGCAGCAAAAATAAACATCTGCACTAAAGAAATATAACCTGACCAGACCATATCATTTTGTTTGCATTTCTTTTGAGAACCCGCGACATCGCCTCTTTCTTTATGGAGCAATGCGATCAGACGAACCAAAGAGCGCACTGTCTTACATAGTGTGTAAACAGGAAATAAGATCATTTATAGCAATGGTTGAAGTAAACCTATTAAAGCAGTGCTGAAACTCCTCGCGCAAAAGAGTCTGTATTGATTACTGTTAATTGTAGATTGAGCATCATAAATTACCCTACGTTTTTATAAGAATATGCGGATAAGGCCTTGTGAGACTGCCTGAGTAAAAGAAAGAGGCAAACTTTGAAGAATATGCATCCATTATTCAAAACAAAGGCTTGTTAGACCAACATGAAAGGCACGCTCAGTGTAACGGCCGTTGAACAAAAACACGGCAGCTACAAATTGTTTTGATTTTATTGTTCATTTTGGAAATTGTCATATTTGATCGACTGGTTATTTTCAACACATTGTGAAATTTTATTCAAATAGGAGAAAAAGCAGTACTGTGTATCTGGGCATTTCTTACTGTGATTCCACATCCCAATCTGGCACCCTGCAAGGAAGAGTCGTCCAAAACAAAGGCCTGTGTTTATGTGGCTCCCACGCACCGCTGCGGAGAGCCCCCTCTGTGTGAGCGGACTGGGATCTTATGTAATCCTGGAACTCGCATGAGGAAACACTGCAACAATCCACATCACGCTTCCTCCGGCCCCTTTGGCATGATCTTGAGAATACTTAGGCTGCTTGTGTTTCCAAATGTGAAATAATGACTTTGGTAAAAATGATATTGACATTATCAGAAATATTGAAAGACTCTCATCTAGTGG